GCCGCCGCCACGGGCGCGGGCGCGGCCGCCAGCCCGAGGCGCGCGGCGCGCGCGTGAGGGCGGCGCAAGGCGCCCGCGGATGCGAAGACGCTGGCTGGCTGCGCAGGAAAGCAGGCTCTGGGGCTGCACATCTGTACATACGCACAAGCTTGCACGCGCACGCGCGCCGTGCTCTGCTTTGAGTGCGCCGCTACATGGCGGCAACAGCAGGGTTTTCCTGTCAAAATGTTCCGGCAAAACCGTAGGTTCAGCGGCAGCACCATGGTGCGATGTGGCCCCCCACGAGGGGCCGCCCTCACCACCCGCGCCTGTTCGCTCTTGGCCCCCCAGCTAGGGTGCACCGCGGCACCGACCCTTGCATGAGAGCGGCGGCGCGAGGGGCGCCCCCCTGCCATTTTGCTCCCGCCTGTTATTTGCGGTCAGGGCGCGCGCTGCCTACGCGGCAGGCGCGTACGCCGCGTCCTGCATGCGACAGTCCCGCCAGCCCTGTCAAATCGCCCACACCCCTGCGTTTCAAGGGCCAAGGCTGCCCCCAAAGATAAGGGCCTGTCTTTTTCTTCGCATGCGTGCCTGCACAAATGTCTTCACACCACATCGCTCTGCCGCAATCAGGTCGCCACAGGACACATTGGAACATATTTCCCTCAAACGGCAGGAGCTGAGCGCGGCCCCTCGAGCGCGGTGCAGAACCGCTGCTCCAAGTCAACAAGCCTTTGACCCCCCCCCAAACCGCCTGACCCACCCATCCGCACAGAGTGCATTTTCCCCGAGCACTCTGTCGGCGGCGGGTCCTGGCATGGGGCCATTTTTGTCGCGCATGTCCTCATACACACACTGCGCCTACACGACCCCCGACCGCTGACCGCGTCAGCTGGGGCTGCGGCTCGGTGCGCGCCTCCGCCCAAGGCTCGCCCCCCACGCAGGCATTGCTGCCGTGGGAGGGCAGCGCCTCTCAGAAAGAGACGTAGCACCACATTCCAATGTCGCCCCGGCGGGCTCTGTGCGCCCCCACGGCCCTTGTAAAACCAGCTGCAACCCTCCCGACTGGCAAGCCAAGGGTATCCTTGTTTTACAGCCAGCACCAGCGCGCGCCGCGGCCCGCACGAGGGGAGGGGTGTGGGGCGCGTCACTAGCTGGTCACTAGCTGGTGTCCATGGCCTCCTCCGCGCCCTCTGTGACGTCCACTGCGCTGAGGGGGATGAGCTTCTCCTTGATCACGGCTGGGGTACGAGGATGCGGGTGTGGATATGTGTGGGTGAGGGGTCAGCGGGGGGCTGATGTGGGGGGCGGTGTGTGTGTGTGGGGGGGGGGGGAGGGGGTTCGTAACGCAGCTCAATTGCAATTCTTCGAAGGCGCTCTCCTGCCCCTTGTTCCCCTCAGAGGAGCCAAAGCGGGACCCTGCAGCTTTGGTGGCCCCCTCGCGCGCATGTCACGAAGCGGGCCGCCAGCGGCCTCCCACGGCCGGCCCAGCCGCGGCGCCCCGCCCCCAGGTGTGTGGCCGCTCACGTGCCGTGCCCTTGGCGTACGTCACCGGGAACTTCCGCGTGTACGTCTTGGCCATGAGGAACTCGTGGTTGCGCAGGTACTCCACGCCCTCCTTGGAGATGATGCACAGGTCCACGTTGGAGCCCGACCCCAGGTCATTGTACACGCCGCTGCGGGGGGCAGCGAGAACAACAGGGGGCCAGGAAAGGGAGGGAGGTTGGGTGGGGAGCATGGACCCCTGCGCCTAGGGGCGGTGAGAGCCTGGAGGCCGCGGTGGCGGCACGGCGACGCAAGGGCTGCGGGTGCATGCGGGCGAGCGCGCGAGCGCCCTGCCAGTCTAGGGCGGCCGGCCGCACCTCCTGATCGCGGCCGCCACGAGGGCCATGGCCTCCTCCTTGGTCATGTCCTCCTTGAAGCCCGCCTCGAACACGGCCATGGCGTTGAGGCTGCCGCTGCCCATCGTGGCGTACGGCAGCGCGTCCGTAGAGCCGTGGGGGAAGATCTGGATGCGGGTGGGAGGTGGCGAGGCGCGAGGGGCGCGAACGGGTGCGGCATCAGCGACGCGGTGCCATTGACGCCTCAGCACACCTCCGCTGCTCAATCTAGGCGCGTGTGGCGGCGTGTTCCGGCCCCCAAGGGCGCGCAGCTGCTCAACGCCTCCGCGCCACCCGCCCCCGCCGCCACCGCCTCACTGTGAAGAGGTGAGGCCCGTTGAGGTCGACGCCGCCCAGCACCAGCGCCGCGCTGACGTGGCCCTGGTACCTGCGGGCGCAAAAGCAGGCGGGGGCCAAGGGAAGCTCGGACCCGGCGCAGGCAGCGCGGTCAGAGGAGCCTGCGGGCGCAGCAGAAGCGGCGGCCGCACATGCGCCCCAGCCGCGGCCGCTCGGCCCAGGCCCGCTCTCTGGCAGCCGCGCGGCGCAGCGGTCGTGCCTGAAGAGGTGCGACTTGAGCATGGTCATGGCGGTGACCACCCGCGACTGGCGGCCCGTGGCGTAGCGGTGCAGGTCGAGGGAGCTGCTGATCATGGCCGTCACGTTCATGGTGTCCGCCGCCGTGCCCGCGCCGCAGCAGTAGATGTTGGGCGCGATGTAGTGGATCTTCTCGCAGTTCTTGTCCGCCACGGTCGACCCGGAGGTCGAGCGCGTGTCTGCGCCAAGGACCACCCCGTCCTGTTTGTGTGTGTAAAATGGGGGGTTGGGTTGGGTGCGGCAGCGACCCCGAGAGCGGGGGGCATGGGGGCGTTTTTTGTGGGGGGGAAGGAGAACGATTAGGCTTGCTTGGAGGCGCCCCCACTGCTGCAGGCGCGAGCTGGGAGTAGGGTCCAGCATGGATGCGTGCGTGGGTGTGCTGTCATGCTGCGAGGCAGGGTGGCAGGTGTGCGGTGCCGCCTGTACAGAACGCAGGGCCTGCTGCCGGCCGACGCAGCAACCCAGCCTGCCAGCGCCCAAAGCAGCTCGTCACCTTATATACCACGCCCGCGATGGTCGTGCCCGTTTTCCAGGCCTTTGGCGGCGCCATCCCCTTCCGCTCCAGCAGCGCGTTGCGCTTGCATAGGTCGAAGTCGAAGCCGCCGCCGTTCGACCCCATGGCGCCGATCTGCTCGAATGTACCTAAGCTATACGCCTAGACGTCTGCTGCTCGGAACTGGAGGCCTATGCGCTCGGCACTTGAGTCCTTTGCTTAGGTGATGCAGTGGCAGCGACGGGACGAGCGCTAGATCCGATATATAAATGTGAATGATGATCAGGAATTACTCAGAACTGTCACCGCAAAGTCCTGCTGTGGGGTGGCGATCTGGAGCAGTGACGATCTCGCCTCTGATCTCGTGACAAACTTCAAGGCATGCATGAATGGCATTGTGATGTCATTGGGCTCGAATCTTGCTGTTGTATCGCACCCAGCAGGCGACTTCACACCAGCTACATTACACTGCAGGCTTGTGGTCACCCTGATCAGGTGGCTCCTCGTTGTAAGCAACTAAAGCCGACATTTTAAAAATATTTTCTTAGCAAGTTACGCTGTCAAGACACTATACACACCAGACGGTCACCAGGACGCTGTGTAGATCGCTGCTGTGTCGAATCAGCCACTGTGTGTGCAACGACGGCCTTGAAGCGACCGCTGCGAAAGCAGGATCAAGGCGCACTCCTATCTTGCAGCCTCGTACAAGTTTGTGTGTGTGTGTGTGTGTGTGAGCGGCCATCCGAGGCGACCCAGCACGCTGGGTGCCGCGCCGGCCTGGTTTTCTGGGCGCTGGGACACGGGCGTTGGGACTCAGCGCAACACCAAGTATGCCGCCAGTTACACATAGGAAAAGAGAGCTCCTCACAAGCGTCGTTGGTGAGGGGAGCCAGCCCCAGCATGGCTACGGGGTTGGCCGGGCTGCAAGTGTGGGCGGGTGGGGTGGTGGGTGCTCTGTTCAGTTGAGGCGCAGCGGTGACCAGTCCGGCAGGCCCTTGTTGTTGAGAATCCTGGGATGGACCCATCTCCTCATGGGCCGCACCCTCCTGCGCCCTGCATCGCTCTCAGCGCGCCTGGAGGACGAGCTGCGCCAGCGTCAGGAGCAGGCAAGCCAGGCGACAAGGGGCCCGCCAAGCAACCGAAGCGCGCTGCCCCCAGCACGTCGCTGCGCGGTGCTATGCGAAGCGCCGATGCGTGTGGCGACAGCCGTGCCTGGACTCGCAGCGGCAGGCCAGCTGCCGAGTCCCTGCGGGCATGCGGGCTTGCTCTCACACTCATCTCGCCAGTGCGCACGCTCTGGCGCACGGAACGTCCGCACACCCCCACCCTCCCCAGTTGGTCGAGGAGGCGACGCGCAATGCGGTCGCGCGCGCACGCATCGGCGTGCTGGGCGCGCTTTCAGAGGCCCGCAACGCCCTACAGCAGATGATGGACGCCCGCGCCGCCGGCACCGCTGGCGCGGCCGGCGAGGCTGGCGGCGACCCCGGCTGCTCCAGGGATGCCATCCTCTCACAGGCGCGCGCGTCGTTGGTGCGCCTCGACGAGCTCGTCTTCGCGGCGCAGCGAGCGCTCCACGGGGCCCCGGCGCAACCGGGGACAGCGGTGCGCTGCGGCGGCGAGGGCGGCGCCGGCGCCGGCGCCGGCTTCGGCGGTGGCGATTCCGGGTCCGCCAGCTCCTGCGTTTCTGTGAGTCCAGCGGCAGGCCCGGCTTCTGGCGAGCCGCAGGCGCCAGGGATAGCTGCTGCTGCTGCTGCTGCTGCTGCGGCGGGGACGGCAGCGGCTGGGGCACCTGCGCCTGCGAGCGCGTCGCGCCTGGGGTTGTTGTGGTCTGCCAGCGACATGCTCAACAGGTGAGCCTCAGGGGTGACGGTTTACTGAGGGAATTGCTCGCGCACGGCCTCCCTCGCGCTCTCCAATCTGGGCGGCCCGCGCTTTGCGCAAGCGCACGCTTGTGCGCTGAACGCGTGCACATGCAAACGCACACTTGCAGCCCATGCTCGGGCCCCCAACCTGACCACCTACATGTGCACTCACGTGATCCCTCTCTCTCTCTCCCCGCCAGCCTCGTCGACTGCTGCGACTCGCCGATGAGCCACGAGGATTTCATTGCTTGGTGGAGGGCCCGCATCGGGGAGCTGTCCCTGGTCCTTCGCCAAATTCAGTGCGGAATGAAGAGCGCCGACGACCTCGAGCCGGTGTGCGGCTGCAGCACGCGGGCGCCGCGGCGCGCACGCGGCGCGCAGCGGGGGGCGTGCCGGCGGCTCAGGGGGGCCGAGGGGCTGCGTCCGTGCGTGCCGCCAACAGGGGCCGCTGCTGCCGCAGCTGCCGCGCGTTTGCAATCAGCGCCACAACTTGCGTCCCCGCGGGCGCTGCTCCTTCCTCGCAGCTCCTGCTGCCGATGGCTGCGAAGTTCGGGGGCCTGTTCCTGGGCCAGCCAGATTTCTCAAACGTCATCGCGCTAGACATGAGCTCAGGGGAGGCCAAGTCGCCCCCGCCGGGCTGGTGGGAGGCGGTGGCAAGGGCAATAGCGCCAACGCCTGTGCAGGTGCGGCCCCTCGCCTGCGTGCGCCTTGCGACTCTGCTGCTGGCCCGGCAAATTCTTCGCTCCTCTAAGTCTAGCTTTGCGTTGCGTGGCGCTCGGTTGTGATTTCCGACTTGCATGAATTGCGCTGCACTCCGACCCCCACGACGCAGCACTCCACCTGATGCACGCACTATCAGCACACACACACACACGCAAGCACGCGCGCGCACACACACACACACACACACACACACTCGCGCGCGCACACGCACGCACACGCATGCACGCAGCACACACACGCAGACGTACACACCCGCATGCACACACACCCACGTGTACACGTCCCCTCCTCACGCCCCCTCTCGCAGCTGCCGCTGCTCGCCACCCTCTTCAAGTGGTTCTGCTCCGCGCACACCACGCTGCGCGGCGAGTGCGAGCAGCTGGCGCGGCGCGCGATGACGGCGGCGCCGGACGTTGAACTGCAGGACGCCCTGGTGGCGGGGCTGGAGCGGGTGCAGCTGGCGTACCGCGTTATGGCGGTCGCGTCCAAGGTCGTCGCCATGGCCGCGATCCTGAAGCCAGAGCAGCTGGCGACGTTCTACATCATGAGCTTCCCGCACATGCCGGTGATGGCGGCGGTGCTGACGGACATGCCGGGGCTGGCGAGCGCGTGAGGCGGGGGCGGCTCGGGCGCGGCGGCGCCCAGTGGCTCGGCTGCCTGCTCGACGGGCGGCTGGGGGCGGCGACGCGTTTGCAAGGAAGTAGCTATTACCAATTCCCAGGAGTTTTAAATCACCATACTTAGCACCCCGGGCATTGCTCACGAATAGAAATAGCTGCGAACCGGACAATGAGTACGAGCGGCGCCCAGAAAGCGTGGCGTGCTGCTGCGCGAGCATCAAGACGTTTGTTTTGCATTCAGTCGGGCAGTATGGTCCAAGCAACCGCCTGTTATATGGCTGGTGTCGGCTCCCTTTGTATTGCATTCAAGAGCTCCAAGAACCACCCTTGCGTGCGTGCAACTTGCTGTGGCCACGATTGCCACCCTTGCGTCGGCCGTAGACACCCATGGCTAGTCACCCACGCCTAGGCCAGCGCACCACCTGCGGCCCCAGCCAACGGTGCGCTCCAGCCCTGCAGACCAGCCTCGTCCCGTTGTGGGCAGTGGCTGAGAAGCGACGCGCGGGTGACGCTCAGTGCTGGATCACGGCTGTGCGAGTTTTGGTTTGCTGGAATTGGACTGCTGGCCCTTCGCCCCAAGTTGAAGCATGTCGGCGATTTGCTGGGATGGTGACTATACTACGTTCTCCCGGTGTGCTTCACTCCTGTTGCACGCATCATGTTGTTTGTCCAGCGCCCCGCGACGCCACGCACACACATGCAGTGGACACCTGCATCAACGCGCGTCCAGGAAACTCGTGCTTGCAATGCTTTGACGTGTGGCTGCGGTGGTGCCGTAGTCCTGGTGAATTTTGCTGCCTTGGGTTGTGCAAGCATAGGCACTGCTTTTCATTATGCACGGCATATCCTTCTCATTGATGAGTTTTCTCTGGTTCCAGACATGTAAGTGGTTGGTCTACCAAAACCCCACCCATGCAGTACACTGCCCCATCTGACGGGGTCATAATTATGCAAATTTCATCTTGCAGCTATGCCAGCGCTTTCAAAAGTGCCCGTTTTTGTACATGCTAGGGGGAGTGAAGCATGCTGGATCATCCACACCTGGGGCTGCGTTGCAGAATTGCCAACTTCAAAGATCTTCAGTGCATGAGCAACAGTAGTTCCTCGACCGAGGGCCACAACACACACACTCTCTTGCGCTCTGCTCGTCCATACGATCATTCCTGCTGGTCAAAAACAATCAACGCCATGACTGCCGCATGGCGTGTCCATGCTGAAACCTTGCAGATCACAATGCGGTGACACAGGCATTGTTTCACAATGCCTTGTAAAGGGCTACACACCGAGGCCAGTACACCTGTGACCTGTCCCTCATCCTGTAGGTCAGATCGTGCCGTGGCGGAGTCCCTTAATCAAGCCGATCGTCATGATAATTCTCAATTAAAAGTTTGTACGTGTCATATTCGGCCAGTCACCTGCTGCTGAGACCGCTGAGGCCCCTCAACCGTTCCCAACACGGTGTGTCGACCACCCACCCGAGAAGCAACAGATAAGACACATAAATACCGGCAGCATGGCATGGCCGGGTCAAGGACGGCCAGAGGCTGAGCAGCGGGTGCGCAATCACATCAAGCGCTGCGTCGATGCCGCACCGCCCAGCTGAGCTCTGCTGCAGCGTACCATTCCTGCTCGTACGCTGAGACGCCACGCTGCATGCGGAATTGCTGCGGTCGCAGCGCCCCCGATGTGCTTGCATGATGTGCTTGCGCACGGCAGTACCCTGTGCGACCGTTTGGTGCCCTTGCAACTGAAGAGGTAATCCTGCACGGGAGTAATGCGCCTTCCATCCCCTGCAACATGCCTTGTCCCCTTGCCGCAGCTGTTTGAGGGGCAGGTTCCCTCGGTGCCCAGCAGCAGCAGCCTTCCCGGCTTGGCAGCCCCCGGCGGCGCCGTGCCGGCCGCGGCGGCGCCCCTAGGATTTGGCGGCGGCGGCAGCACTGGCGTGTGGGTGGAGAACACACTGGACGAGCCGGTGTGGGCGACGCTAAGGCGGGACGTGTACACAATTGGTCGCAACATGCGCAGCGTGCTGATCCCCATAGATTGGGACTTTACAAACAGCGCGGCGGCGCTCGGAAATTGGGACCTGTGGGGACCCTTGGTGCGTGCTGGGGCTGCGGGTGGCGCGCACGACGAGGGGGGTGGGCGCTCGGACGCGGCGCTGGCGGCGGCAGGGCTGCCCAGGATATAGCGCTGCTGCTGTGCTGCAAGCGCCGCGCACGGCGTCCGCACGCCCCTCTCATGTCGCAGATTGGCACAGAGCCTTGGTAGCGCTGGGTGGGTGCGCGTGGGGCGGGCTGCGCGCTTTGCAGCTCAGCGTCCTTGTAATCATGCAGAGTGCACCCTGCCCTGCCGTTCACGCGCCCGCCGCTGCCCTCAGATTTTCATGCTTGGGCTCGCCATCACGCTGTCGGCTGGGGAGAAGAAGCCGTCGGATGTCTTTGCGGTGAGAGGAGCGGCGGCCGCCGCACCATGCGAGGCGAGACGAGCCCGCTTGGCGCACGCCTGGCGGCTCGGGCCGCTGAGCTGCTTGCTGTGTGCCGTTGCTCGCGCATTCGCCCTCGCCTGTGGCACCGCATCAGCGGCCAACGATGCCCGCAACCACCCTTGACGGCCCGTGCCCTGCTGCCAGCTGGTCTTCACTGAGGTGGCACTCGGGGCCGTGGTGCTCACCATCAACGTCATCCTGCTGGGGGGTGACATCGTGTTCTTCCAGAGCATGTGCCTCATCGGGTACTGCCTCTTCCCCATCAATATAGCGGCTATAGTATGCCTGTTCGTCAAGATCAGGGTGCGTGCTTGGTCTTGGCACCTTGGCTTTGTGTCAGCACTGCGCGCCTTGTCGCGGCCGCGCTTTGGCAAGGGTCGCGCGGGGTGGGCATGCGTTGCTGCGCGGACGCTTTCTTCATGGTCGACCTGCACCCTGCGTCACAAGGACGCTCGCCGGCGCCCATGCTGCGTGCGCAGTGGGTGCGGCTGCTGGTGCTGATCGTGTGCTTGGTGTGGGCGTCGGCGGCGGCGGTGCCGTTCATCAGCAAAACTGTGGTGGACAGGTGGGTCCCGCCTTTAGTTTGAATGGGGGTTGTGCTGATGGCTGCAGTTGAAATCCCCCTGCCTGACTCGAACGATTGGCAGCCGAAGAGGGGCAGAAGTTGTGTAATGCTGTCAGGTTGTGCCTTGCGTGGTGCGGCAGAGCGTCATCTCCCCCTTCACCTCAGACGCCTGCTCGCCGTTTCGCTGGCGCCCTCAATCCGTGCAGGCGGCGGGCGCTGGCTGTGTACCCCGTGCTGCTGATGTACACCTCCATAGGGTGGCTTGCGCTGGTCAAGAGCTGAGGTGGCGGACATGGCCGTCGGAGCTGTGGCGGAGCGGCCCCTCAGCATCAGCAGAGTCGCATCGGCGACATCAGCAGTGCAAGGCTGGCCTCCTGGTATCCAGCAGTGCCATTTCCGCCAGCGTTTCATGTGTAGTATCCCATGTAAATAATTGGGGAAGCGTGCTGGGCTGCGCCAGGTGGTCAAGATCACAGGTCGCCCAGCATGAGGAGCATAAGTCTGTGGCTTATACACGAGGAACTCTGTAACACAATTTATGTTATTACAGTCAATTTCACGCGAAGCGCTATTGGATGATACCGGTATTTGAAAGAGCTTGAAGCTGCTGCATGCACGTGGAATGCAAAATGAGCGGGTCAAGTAGAATATCGTTATGATTGTTTCATAGCATAGAAATTCGTGGGACAAGCTGCCTGCGGTCCATCAGCGGCGATCTTGTCCCTCACGACCGTGCAGCTGGTACCCGAAATGCAGCCCTGCAGTGCAGGGTTGAGTAGAAGTCGATTGACCGCGGGTACATGGAGCGGTTCAGTCTCAGTGGCAGCTCCATGTCGGCCGCAGCGGTGGGAGCAGCAATGCGCCCAGCAGCAGCGGCATCACGCTCGACGGCATATTGCGCCATACCAAGCGGTGGCACACGACTTGGTGAGCAGCCGATTTCCACATGGCTGCTATGCCTGCATGGCTGACACACGTATATGGCAAGATGGATCTACTCTCCACTGCATGCTGCTGACCAGCGCAACATGTATCGGCCGACCCGTCTTTCGCACAGCCAGGCACCACTCCTCAGCCCAAACACGCTGCCACACACACTTGAAGCCCCTCCCACATGCGTCCCCCGCCGATCGTCGGCCCTCCGGCTGACCGCCTCTTGCCTCGGCCGTCTCCGCGCGCCGCGAGCAGACCGCGACGCTGCTTGAGCAGATAACGCAGTACGCGCTGCGCGCGCGGCTGAGGGAGGCGCGATCGGTCACGGCGGAGATCTCATGCGACGCCTTCAGCCTGCTGGCGGGGCGCGTGAACAGCGTGACCATCAAGGGGGAGGGCTGGCGGTCGCCACTGGACCTGACCGCGCAGACGCTTGAGGTGGGGTTGGGGTCGGGGGTGGGGCGGGGCGTGCGGCCCGGATAAAGAGGGACAGAGCGGTGGGTTGAGGGATTGTTTGTTCAAACTAGAGGGGCCCGCTGTGAGTGCGGACTGACTCATCGCTCGTGTCGAGCACGTGGGGGCTCACGCTGCTCCGACAAGCTGGCAGGTGCGGGGCGGCCGGCGCCGCCGCACACACGCGCCCGCCGCGGCTCGCCGCGGCCCGCTGTTCGAGCCCGCGGTCACGCCCGCCCGCGTGCGCCCTTTCTGCCGCCCGCGCAGGCGACGGTGGGGGCGGCCGCGCTCGACTACGGGCAGGCGCTGATGCGGCGCGAGATCGTCCTGACAAACGTGCCGACGGGCACCGCGCGCGTGGTCTTCAGCGAGGCCGACCTGGGCAACTTCCTGGCGCATCCGCTGGTGGCGGCGGCGGCGCAGACGGCGGTGCAGGTGCGCGCCCGGGGGCGGCCGGGGCGACGCTCTGCGGCTGTGGGCCCTGTTTCCGTTTTTGTGATGTCGTGTTTTGGCGGCCGCCCCTCCTCGCGGCGGCTGGCTGTCGCGCCTGGGGCTCGTGTTCTAAGAGTCCCCGTGGCGCTGCGCGCGGTGTGCTTGCGTGCGCGTGCGCCTGCGCGCAGGGGGCGCCGTTTGTGTTTGACCGCGAGTCGGTGCGCATCGAGGCGCCGTCTAGGGAGCGGCCTGAGGGCGTGATCTTCCTGTCTGGCACGTGGCGGCGCGACAACGTGCGGTACCAGGTGGGCCGGCATGCCGGTCGGTTGGTCGGTTGGTCGGTTGGTGTGTCGGTTGACCTGCGGCAGAGGAAGAGGGCGATGGGGCTCGTCCGAGCGAAAGGGGCGCGGCGGCGCGAGGCTGGGCCAGGTTGGGGCAGCCAGCGACAGCATGGGCGGCGGCGGCAGCGGCGGGGGCGGCGGCGGCAAGAAACTGGGTTGTGGGGGCCTCAGATGGGCGGCCCTTGCAGGGGCGTGGAATTTTCAGGGCTAGGCTCGATGGGCGGCGCTGAAGCGGCCCCGCACCCGGCTTCCGCTTCACGGCTGGCCGCACGCGCACGCGGCGCGCGCGCCGCAGGTCGAGCTGCTGCCCGTGGCGCGCGGCGTGGCGGTCGGGCGCGGCGTGCACGCCCACGCGATCGCGCTCGGCATCGGCGGCCGCTCTAGTGAGCCTCGCCGCCGCGTTCCTTTGCCGCGGTGGCGCGCGTGCAGCGCGCAGCGCGCCCGATCCTCTACCCGGCATACTCTGTCCTTCGCCACCCGCCTCGCCCGGCGGCCTGCCTCCCCGCGGCTGCCCGCGTGCCCACACATGCCCCCCCCCAAGCCCTCATCGATGCACGCTCCCCTCTCAGCAACCCATCCCAGTCCCCTGGAATGCATCCTCCTGACGCCGCTCCCCCCAAGCATCGCTCCAACTTTCCACGCGGCCGGCCGCCCCACAACGCCCCGCACAGCCCCCGCTCCACCGGCCCCCGCTTGACCGAATCGCGCGCACCCTCCGCGCCGCCGGCACCCCCTGCTGATAATACTTACGCAGGCTCCGCGGGCGTGGTGGAGGACGCCCTCACACGCTTCTTCAACGGCCTGACTGTTGACCTGCAGGGCGTGGAGATGCGCCTCATGAGCCTCACGCTGGCTGCGGGCACGGGCTTTGCGGGCGCGCTGGCGGACCTGCGGCTGCAGCTGACAGTCAAGGTGGGGGTG